GGTTCTCCCAAGATGGATTGCCGCTGGCGCCCACTGAGGAAAAAAAATGCAGAGTATGACAAATCCCACAAGTCCCTGCTCCTGCTCTGTGCTCTGTAGTTGGTTATAAACTCCTATCTAGCCCTGAATTCCTTTCTGCATGCTTTGCAGAAAAAAAGCAAACTAAACTAAAAAATAAATAAATAAAATATGGATAAATACAGAGGTGCTACATTGTGAAATTTGCCTTCTGGCTTTAATTTAGGAAACAACTGATGCAAAGTGTTTCATTAAATCCTTCATGTACCCCTTCACTCCTATATCAAGTACTCCAATATCCCCTTCATTAGATGGAGGGGAAAGGTAAAAGGTCAGACCATCCTGACATAGGTCACAGGTTTCCATTATGTCAGCTGGTCTAACCACATCTAATCTTCTAATCTAACCTCATCTAAAGCCAGCCAATGCTGAAATACAACAAAACAATATAAAGAAATTACCTGGGAGTGGTAAAAACATAAAATACAAATAATTTAATCTCATACACATACATCCCCTATCACTTCTCTGTGACACAACACAAACACACATACACAGTCCAAGCATAACAAATGTATAGCTGACATATGCAAAACGGTGATTAAAAATAGTAAAAATCTTTACAGAAATGGTGACTAGTTAGAGGACCCATGATGTAGGTGACTTTTTTCTTCAGTATAACAGTAAAGAAGATATTTAGCTGAAACCATGGTGCTTGGTAATTCATAAAATTCAAGTTAAAAGCTACCATCACTTTGAGAGTTTAAAACAAGCATATTAGGGAACACACAATTAATACCCGTGGCTTCTGATGATATATATTGAGGTCTTATGAAGCGAGACTATTGGTCTTTACAAGAAACTGAACATTATTTATACCTGTAATGCACAGCCTCAAGCAATAGGGAAGTCTGATTATTTTCCACAAACTCATTCTTTTGACAGTTTGTTTCAATTACCTGGTTCTATTGACTAGTTTGTTATGACTATTGCGTGACTTGATATAATATTGATAATATTGACTATTATTAAAGCACCCAATAATGATGTGAAACACAAATGTTTCACATGTCTAAAGCATATGAAATGAATAAACTAGTCTTAATCAAATTAACCATGAAAAATCATAAACACACATAAACACTTCATTCAAGTGCTCAGTTCATGTATGAGCTTATCAATGCCTCATTCTTCGGTCCGAGTCCAAACGGTTTCCTCAGTTCAGTGTACTGTTGGAGTAACTAAAGTGCTGAATGAGTTGACAAAAACCGGCATCATATTGATTATATATGCAATACACTGGATCATTCACAGTCTGATTTCGTGCACTGGTTCATCCACTTCACTACAAAAAACAGGTTCAAAAGACAGGTTCAAATCACTCCAGTTTTCCTGAATCGGATTACAAGTAATAATGCTGTAAATAATGTTCAGTTTCTTGCACAGACAGATTATTTTGTTTCACAAGACCTCAATATATTTGTCAGCAGCCACATGTATTAATTTTGTGTTCCTTGATGTTCCCTAATTTCTGTAATAACTGTTCTATTGAAGAAAAAAGTCACCTACATCTTGGATGGCCTGAGGGTGAATAAACTAAGAGTACATTTATTTTTGGATGAATTATACCTTTATTATTTTAGATAAAATAAAGAAAATATAGTAAAAAATTATATATACCAAGAATTCATCTCGAATAAAAAACTTTGCCCTGGACACTTTCGGGTCTTCTCCGGAATCAGGTGTTGCTGTGCATATATATATATATATAAAAAAAACAAAAAAAACAAACAGATATTATTGTTTAATGTATATAGACATTTTGCAAGGCCATAGAATCAATTTTGAAAATAGAAGTGGTCATATTAAAGAATGGCTGAGTTTGCCAAGTATTGAATGAAATGATAAAACAATAATATCCCCCTTTCAACCATTTTCAATCTGCATTTTCAAGCTTTCGGAGCACACATTTGTACTAAAAGCTTTAAGGGACAATGTTTAGTAAAGTACTTTTTTTTTTTGATTTTGCAACTCGACATAAATTAAGAAATTACTGTCACTCAAAGATTTTTATTGTAAAAACAGAAGTCAAACTATCAAAATCTGTGTGGCAAAGCTGGCAAAGCACTTTTTTTTATTTGGTCCGTTTTTATTCATCATCTAAAGTTCCAAAACAATGTCACAGAATCTTTGTGCGATTTTCTCTTCTCTAAACACCGCGCACATTGTGGTGTTTTGTTCCGTCTTTGAACAAATTGGTTGAGTAAGTGATTCAATGATCCATTAATACAGACAGCCACTTGTGTTGCCCCTGAATAAATCAGCATTTTGAATGACTCTGTTTAATGGATGGCTCAATGACTCTTTCAACAAAATTAATTCCTTACATTTATATAGCGCTGTTCTGGGCACTCAAAGCACTTTACATAGAAGGGGGGAATCTCCTCAACCACCACCAGTGTGCAGCATCCACTTGGATGATGCAACGGCAGCCATATTGCGCCAGAACGCCCACCACACACCAGCTTATTGGTGGAGAGGAGACCAAGTGATGAAACCAATCAGCAGATATGGGGATGGTTAGGAGGCCATGATGGTCAGAGGACAATGGGCAAATTTTGCCAGGATGACTTGCCACCACCTACCAAAGGTATTACTTCATTATTTTATTTAGTATTTCTATATTCAAAATCGTGTGTTTAAATGGGAACTAATTGCACCCTTTTTGTGGATCACAGACTTATCATGAAACCATGTAATTTCTTAATTTGTGTTCATACACCATTAATTTGAGGTAAATTTAAGTGTCTTTCCAAAAAAGGACACTTTGAGACTCCAAAAGGACACCAAATGACAAATCACATTACAAGGTGTCCATATAATTCATAAATTTACACACACCAAAGCACGAATGAAAAAAAAAATGGACAGAAATTGACAGTGCTAACTAAGTATGTGTACAGTACAGCATCAAAAAGCTTGTTGCAAGTTGTAAAGTTGAAAGTTGGAGCAAGTTGTAATGCTGAAGAGAACCACATGAAGATGCCAAAAAACCCTAAACCAACCACCTTCACTTGACTGCATATACCTACTACAGTACATATTTATGGTTTGTTTGTGCATCAATATAACAGTCCGTGCTTACTGTACGTCACCACAATCGTCTTTATCTTGATTGTAATCCTCATCCATCAAAACATTACTATTGAGATGCTGGTTTACTGTATCCAGCCAAGAAGTGTAGTTTGCATATACAGGTGCATCTCAATAAATTAGAATGTCGTGGAAAAGTTCATTTATTTCAGTAATTCAACATTTGTTGAGATAGTGAATTGGTGGGTTTTTGTTAAATGTGAGCCAAAATCATCACAATTAAAATAACCAAAGACTTAAACTACTTCAGTCTGTGTGCATTGAATTTATTTAATACACGAGTTTCACAATTTGAGTTGAATTACTGAAATAAATGAACTTTTCCACGACATTCTAATTTATTGAGATGCACCTGTAGTTGCCAGATGTTGGTCAGACATGGGAGATCCGCTCGGAGACCTCAGGATGTGAGAGAGAGATTTCCGGGCGGACGTGACTTTTGGCACAAAAGTAGTCTGGACAATTTCGTGTTATGTCTGAACTGTCGCAGTAATGGCACATATGATGAAACGTAGTCTGGACTAATGGTTCATTAAGACGAAAAACATAGCTTGCAGCTGTTCAAAGATCCCCTTTGATTGTAAGCGAGATTGTTGCGCCAAACACAATGTTCTCAAAACGAAATAATCATTTAATATATCCTTGATGTACAAGGCGTCAAATGAACAATATTCATTACAGCAGCGCTGATAGTCCCGTGGACGGCTGTATCACCCCCGAGACAGAAGCTTTTGCAACCTGAAATGCACGCGAATCACACGTTTTCAAGTTATAGAAAAAGCTTTGTCTTTTCCCTACACAAAATCAATCTGCTATAGGAGACTGTCTGCAAACACACACCAAAATCAAAATGCGTCGATTCATCACCATCGTTATTTTGCAGTTGTAAATATTAAGTTTATGTTCAGAATAGCTCTGGTGCAATCGTGAGTTTCACGTGACGCTGAGGACACCTGGCGGACAAACTTGGGAATGCGTCAAGCAAGCTTTAGCTCATGCTTTTCTTTATATGTAACGGCTAAACTGACTAATTATATTTATCCAAGCAATATATCTACGCTATAAAATTGATAAGTAACCTGGGCATGTCCATAAAATGTTTTGTCATGCGTCTAAATAAGATTTAAACCTAAAATCATAGCAAAACGCTGCCGAGCTCTCAATATATATTATTAAAAAATCATAGCAAAACACCGCCGAGCTCTCAATATATATTATTAATATACATATATATTCTATTTCTTTATAATGTTTTTAGTTAAAATAATGTGTTATTTTTAGTTAAAATAGCGTTTTAGTAAGACGTACTAAGAAAATACCTGTCATATGATATTTTGGATGGGCGGGCCCTCCATGGCCGCTCATATCATATATATTTTACCTGGCACTGGTTCAAAACTCATTCAACAAACAAACTTGGATCAGTTTCAAACATTTGGTCTACAACTTTTTTTCATCGTTGTTCGAGAGGACGGATCTAATAGTGAGTACGAATTTAAAGATTAATGTATGCTTTGGAGAATATAAAAAAGTTCGCTGTTTTAATTAAACTGTGTAATAGGTATATCGTTTAATAGGTTATATTCTCTGTGGAATATAACTCATTTGAAGAGATTGACGAATTTGGTAATTATATTTATATAATATTTTTATATTCCTAGTTTCATATATTCATTATTGACTAACTTTTATTGACGTTTATTTTATACAGCAAGATCGACTTTGAGGGACGCGTGTGGAGACAGTGCGCTATTTATACCTATCCACAGCATTAATAATCTAACTGCAACATTCTATCTATCTTATTTTATATATATTGTAATTAATAGACTTTTTATTGGAGCTTTTAACCCAGCCAGGATTTGGGACGTCGCAACCAGAGGGAAACGTCATCGAAGAACGTCAGGAAAACGGATGCATCATCATCATCCAAGCTAGCCGGAAGAGATGCAACCCGGATGACATAGCGGGGCCCATTACATCGATACAGACCACGGACATCGCGAGACCAGCAAAATGTCTTAAAATAGCGATCGTTTCTCCATCCATAAGGCATGATGATGAAGAATACCAATCGAACGCATCATTTAGCGGTAAGTTTTTATTATAATCATCTGTTTTTATATTGTAAGTAAACGTGATCGCTTAACATAGGGTGAAATAGGCCTGCTACCATGGTCTGAGAGCTCAGACAGAGTCCGTCTCACGCTGACGCTTCAACCGGTTCCAAAAGCTTACGTAAAATAAGGTTATCCTTTTATAAAACTCTAAAATGTTCTGCGGCCGGTATTAGGATATTTTCTGCATATTGTCACACGACCGGAGCAGTTTACTGTTCTGAACTGCGAGATGGCGATAGCCTCATCAAAACTCCAAAACAAAGATTTTATTTTTGTTACGCATTATACAGTGGCTAGTAATAATATATATGATTTCACAATTATCCAGTTTGCTAATTATGTACATAAAATGAGTAAACACTCTGGCTGGTTTGTATATTGTGAGATTAAATTATTTTAAATTATATTTATTGGTGATTTTTTTTTAAATAATTTGTTTTAACCTATGTGTGTTTTTTATTTTACAAAAATTTTATACTGTAAACAACGTAATGACTGGAAAAAATTAAAATTTTCCAAACTTTTTCCATGTTTCAGGAGGTTGACCCTTTAACTGCCACAGTCTCAGGAGGTTAACCCTTTAATCTGGCGGTCCGCCGGCAGGGTCCAATTATCATTACACGTTTTAAACAGTGATATCTTAGTCTGATCCTAATGTGCTCTTGACAAACCATATATCGTTTGAAAGCTTAAAGACTCTAGTTTTCATATTTGGTGACTAATTTTTGAAATATTTTACAGAGCAACTGTAATTTATTAATTTACAAGAAGAGTACGCATCAGAATCAGAGAGCCAGTTCTGCCCTTCACGTTGAAATAGCGCTGCACATGCGAAAATCATGAAAAACCTAATTATCATGTTCAAAAGATAACATCCATTCTATTTTATAGGGAAAAAATTGATGATAGATATTTTCATGTCTGAGAAAAATTTGGGGTTAAATGGGTTAATATTTTAATTATTGTAGCTAATATGACATTTATACAGGTTTGCTTAATAGTAATCTGATTCTAGTTCACAATTTTAGCTGATGACACGTTTATTCATTATTAATTTAATTAATTTTTTTATTTTTATTTATTCTTTTATTTATTATTTATTATATGTATAATATTTGCTATTCTTAACTGTTTTAATTTCATATTAAATCATTTTATTTATTCTTTTATTTATTATTATTTATTTTATGTATCATGTTTCCTATTCTTAACTGTTTTAATTTCATATTAAATCATTTTAATTATTCTTTTATTTATTATTATTATTCATTATTTTATGTATAATGTTTTCTATTCTTAACTGTTTTTAATTTAATATTAAATCATTTTAATTATTCATTTTAATTATTCATTTTAATTATTCTTTTATTTATTATTATACATTATTTTTTATTTTATGTATAATGTTTTTTCTATTCTTAATATTTTTTTGATTATTTTAATTCCTTTTATGTAAAGCTCTTTTAATTACCATTGTCTATAAAATGTACTATATAAATAAACCTGACACACTACAACTTTGCATTGCCTATTCAGAATAATTAATAATAATAATAATAATTGACTTATTTAGTCATAATATTTTGGTTTATTTAATTTTTATTCAGAAGAAAACCGTTTATTTATTTAGCTTTACGGTTACAAGATATTTTAAATTTATTTAATAATTTTGAATGCTACCATAGAAGTACCGCTCATATTGCATTTTATTTTCCCTAATCCTGTTATTGTTTTCAGACGAAGAACGCGAAGACTTGGACGACGTACAACTCTGGTCAAACACGCAAGTACGTGTGTGGGACAGTGTGACATTTAGTAGCGAGCGAGACGAAGAGAGCGTGACTGTAAGGAGTCAGACCCCGTATGCTGGGGAAGAAGAAGCAGCGTCGATCGTGGATGCGGATGCTGAAACGGTTGGTGATGAACTCAGGTCAGCGAGCCTAAGGCACGAGGTACTCCTTCATGAAATAATTAATAAATTGGACGATATCGACCTAGCCACGAATGCGAATCAAATTGATGACGTGGTGAACGGCTTATGCCATTTGCGAGCAACAGTTCATGAAAACTTAGTGACGGTTCACGACACGCTCCAGGAGCTGTTGTGCGAGAGAAGACTTTTGGTGGAGCTTGTAGCCAATCTAAATCATTTTATAATGAGCAGATAGCCGCTCTATAACGTTTTTATTGCTGCTGGTTTTCATGATGTAAATACCAGCGATTTTTAATGCTGCAGATTTGTTATAACCATTATTAGACTATAATTTCGATGATATCTGCACAGTGCTATTTCTATGTTAATCTCATAGTCAATTCCATTATTAACACTGTATGGTTTTATATTTTATTTTTATTTGTTGTCTGTAATCACTTAGATCTTTTAAACTTTTGTTACCTTTTGTCTGTAATCAGTTTGATGTTATCAATGTATTTTTTAAACTTTGTCGCCTTTATAAAGCTGTAGTTATATTTTTGCCTGTAATAATTTTAAAAATGAACGCCAGAGATGTACACAGAGGCGACGCTCTTTCTGACACGCTACAGAGTATAATTGATTTGCAAATTCAAAATGCTCCTGATAATATGACTCTATGCGATAGATTACAACAAATGATAAGTTCGTACCCCGATGTGATAGGACCATTTCCTGATTACACTATGCAAAATGCTCGTGATTTGCAACAAATAGAAATGGAATAGAACCTAAATTTTAATTTGTGCGATCTGTTGCAGACAATACTAGACGATCACAACCAGCGGTCACGTCAAAACGGCGTGCAAAACGGTGGCGCATTAACCGATTCTGCCTCTATGCATTCCGGCGCTATGCATTCGTCAGCTACCTCTTATTTTACCGAACGTTCAGTGTCTAGAAGTACCGTACACCCTGCAGGTAATAACGATGCCGAGCGACCGTCGGCCTTCCATGCCGAGACCGCTTCTGATACCGAGCAACCCTCAACTAGTAGAACAGCGGACCCTGTCGGCACAACTTGGGCGAGCATCGATGCCGCAATACCTTATGGCGGAACCATAAACGGCTTTCATGTTTTACCGCGACCTCATTTAACAGTGTGGATTTACGCAGGACTATGAATATGAGGGAGATCATGTCTACAGATTTAGACTTGTATCACGCTTCCTTGCACAACGCCATGGATGAAATAGTGTAATTTGCCCGACAGATCGGAGGTGATGCTAGCGTGATCAACTTGGTCATGACAGCCCCTAGCCTGAATTCGTCCGTTAACGCTGTTTTAACCCCTGGGAATAATTATGACATTAATCTATTTACAGAACAAATCGAATTTTTTTTACAGAGCAACGAAAGGCTGATGGCTGATTACGCGGTTGAAATTGAGGCCAGCGTAGCCATGAACAGACGAGGAGGTGGTCGACGTAAACTCACAGAGCTGGCTTTGGACCAGGTGATCAAAAGAAAAAAGATGAGTTTATTCTGTCCTGTAAATACCGGTAATAAATTATGTTTCTGTATCTGTCTGGTACATTTTCTCGACCCCCAATTACCCGAGAGCGAATTGGAAAATCGTGCGAATGTCATCCAAAACAACGCGGGGCTAACTAGCCAAGACCCGATAGGTCTTCATGACATAGCCAGGTTTGAAAATCTGCTAGGTGTCAAAATCATCGTATTTTACAGGACGAACGATGGGGGGCTAGAAACGTACAAAAATTAAGAGGAGCCTCATCCAAAAACGGTCTGCCTTTACCTGCACGACGATCATTACTATATTATATTGAGTCTGACGGCGTTCATCGGTACAGATTATGTATGTGAATTTTGCTTTAAAGGTTACTCCAAACGAAGAAATGACAGTTGTAGACACGTTTGCAACGTTTGTTTCGATCGAGATTGCTACAAGCATCCTAAAACAGTTGTTCACTGTGCCGATTGTCTACACTATTGTAAATCGCGCTACTGCTACGACATGCATAAGAAGATACCCCCAGGCAGAGAAAAAATACCGTGCGATGTTATAAAATATTGCAAACTATGTAACAGACGGTACGAAATTACAGGACGAGGCGACAAACAACATGAATGTGCCCCAGCCCATTGCATTCATTGCCGCGGGGATCTAACGGCCCAAGGGGTACATAGATGTTTCATACAGCCCCATGCTCCCAAGGGCCGTAGCAAAAAATATATATTTTATGACTTTGAAACGCGTTATGAAAACGGCAAGCACGTCGCTACGGCGAACTCAGGAGACAGTTTGACAACAAAGTGGAAATTCTGCAAAATGCCTATGGGGTAAAAGTGGAAATTTTATGGGAATGTCAGTGGCTGAAAATGAAACAGACCAACCCCTCGGTGAAAGAATTTATGAGTACTTATTCGGCCCCCGAGAGACTGAAACCCCGAGATTCACTTTTTGGCAGACGCACAAACGCTTATAAGCTGTACCACAAAACAGATGACGGGGAGAAAATAAGTTATGTCGATTTCACCAGCTTATATCCATTCTGTCAGGCTAGGAAAAGCTATCTGATCGGTCACCCCGAGATCATTTTCAGTGACTTTGAACCGATTGAGAATTATTGCTGTCTTATCAAGACCACCGTGTATCCTCCGCACAAATTACTACACTAGTGTTCCCGTTATGCAGAACATGAACGCGGTGAAAACCAGACAACGAGCTGCCCCCACACGGACGATGAGAGGGCTCTCTCAGGATGCTGGGTCAGCATTGAACTTTTAAAAGCGATCGAGAAGGGGTACATGATGGCAAAGGTCGACGAAGTTTGGTATTTCCCGCAGCGGTCAGATACGCTGTTTTGCGATTTACATGAAAACGTTTTTACGTTTGAAACAGCAAGCGTCTGGTTACATCCTCGAATATTATGAAAAAGAGGGAATTCAACTTGACCCCGAAAAGATCAGTCACAACCCCGCCCAGAGGTCTATCAATAAGCTACTTCTTAATTCGTTATGGGGACGATTTTGTATGCGCGAACATTTACCGCAAACCCTGCTCGTGAAAGACCCTGAAGATTTCGCACAAATCATTTTTGGTAAAACCGACATCCTGAAATACTTCACATTCGTCTCGGACGACGTGACGCTCGTCCAGCATTGTCGCAACGTTGCACAACAAGTCAGTCGACAAAAGGTTCAAGGTGGTGTACAATAACCGTAGACTCCTACCCGATTTCAACACTCTTCCTTATGGCTACTGATTCGATGATGCAAAGAGGGGTTCGGGATGCTTCTGAATTTGACTTTCGACTTATTCATCAGTGATCAGTGGCCCCAGCAATAGCGGCAAAACCTACTTTGTAAAGCGCTTGTTGGAAAACGGTTTAAATATGATTTCTAAAAAAATTTAAAACATTGTATATATTTATAATTGTTGCCAACCTCTGTATGACGAATTGCTTAAAATGTACGACATCAAATTTGTTGGAGGAATACCCGAGTCTCTGAATGATGATCGTTTACTACCCACCGACAAAGCCAATTTTCTGATATTGGACGATGTTATGAACCAAGCTAGTGGGAATCTTCAAATACAGAAGGTTTTCACGCAGTTTGTACATCATCGTAATCTTAGCGCTATTTATATTGTACAGAATTTATTTGCTCAAGGTAAATCGAGCAGAACCATCAGCTTGAAAACGAATTATTTAATTTTGTTTAAAAACCCCCGTGACGCTAATCAAGTGATGGTGTTAGGCCGTCAGATGTACCCTACCGATGTAAAATACTTTATGGAGTGTTATCAAGACGCTACCAGTCAACCTTATGGGTATCTCTTGATAGACTATAAAGCGAAAACACCCGAACAGTATCGGCTCAGAACAGGGTTGCTTTCTGACTGCCAAGTGGTCTACCTCCAGAAAAAAAGGAGCTTGTGATCATTCGTCATGTCCGCCAGACTTTGTAAGCATCTACCTCTGTTAAAGTTGCCTCATAAAGCCACGCCTAAACAACGGCGTCTTATTTTACAGATAGCGTCCCAAGATCTCATTTTAGCGATTTGCGAAGTGGCTCTAAACATCCTCTACGGCACGATTCCGATCAGCCGTCAGCAGTATCAAAAACTGAAGAGGAGAATAGCAGAAATTAAACTTGTCGCCAATAAGAAAATAGGTATAACCGCCAAGAAGCGTGTTTTCAATCAGTCCGGCGGATTTCTTTTACCGCTTCTAAGTGTCGCAGTACCCTTTATTTCCAGCTTAATATCGGGCAGACAGGGCTGAGGATGCAGTATGCTGAAAAGAAGTATCTAGTCCCCCAGAACCAGCTGGAAAAGCTGCAATCCGGAACCCCCCGTGAGAACATTCAACAGGTCGTAGAGAACGATCTGGACACAGCCATAAGAAATATTTTACTCCGGACTGATTTAGATCAGCATGAAAAGGCTAAACTTTACTCAAGCATCCTAACCAGGTTTTTAACGATGGTTAAACAAGGCGATCGCGAGAGTAGCGTTTTAACAATATCGTTACCGCATCCCGATCCCGGTTATAAAGACGATCATACCCCTGGAGACGTTGGGGGTTCGGAAGACATCATAGCCGAAGTTCTGAAGAACGTACCGTCGCGAAGCGTAAAAATCAGCCGATACATATTAGACAAAATGTCTAAAGCTAAAGGACTCTAAAGGCTCTTGGAACAAATCTGGCGAATTTGTGTTTAAGGGTGAAGCCGTACCAGGTTCGCACATGCTCGATTTGTTAAAAAATGTTACCGCACCACACCAGGTCCGGGATGACAGAAGACCTCTAGGATGGTCTGAGTTTTTACAGTCGTTTGCCGAATTAAACATACCGTTTTCTACGGTGACTAATCAACATGTTAGACGTTTGATTAGCTCTTTAAAAAGCATGCGCGGAGCTCATGCAAGTACGCCTGAGCCTGCACAACCTTCTAAAAAGTCTGTCAAAAAGAGAAATTCACGTACTACGGCTATGAGGACGGATGAACCCACGTTCAAATCACCGTCTCTCGATCGAAGGCAATGGTTAGAATTTTAAAAATGTATTTTCTTTAAATGTCTTTGTGAAATGATATGTATACGAATTTTAATTATGTATTCACACGTTCTTTAAATGTATGTCACTGTGTTACATGATATGTATACCTACTGTTTGAATATTTTTGAATAAAAGACTGTAAAACTGATGTCGGTTTTAATCGTTTTTAATTTATGATCAAACGCATACAATGGATAATTCAATCATGCAACATAACTGTATTACACGTTTGCACAATGAATACACGAAAAAAAATTTCATTACAAGCGATAGAGCTTAGTCTTTTCACAAAGAGCGACACCATTTTATCATTTTTAATATAATCGTTGCTGTACAAATTCATCACATAGTTATAGTCACGACCCCTGGCTAAATGATATAGGAAAAACACGCAGTGTTGTCTGCATGTATCCGCCGTAAAATCCTGAACGCGTTTGGTAGAATATAACACGACGGGAGCATTGAATGTTAAAAAGTTTTTGATGGTGATTGGGAATCGCTCTCTGTCAGGAGCGTTGCCGTAGCTATTGAAAAAACACACAGAACCGTCTCGAGTTAAATAAACAGCCAACCAGTGCTCCCCCGGCAGGTCTGAAGCATGCGTGTTAATGACAGCCATCGACGGTAAGTTCCTTAACGGGGTTTCAGGCAACTGATCACTCGGGAGAACGCCAAGAAAATGAGTGTTACATGAGATTTTGTCCATGATAGCGGTGAGCTGCACCGTGTTCATTTTCTGTTCAGTAGTAATCGAGCAGGACCTGTCATCGAAGTTAGACACTTCGATGATGCTGTCAAACACTGCGTATACGATGAGATTAATAGTATGAGGCAGCAGTTTTTTGAAACGTGCTTCGAGTCTGATATTCCCGGGCTTGATGAGCGATATGTGCTGACCGCAGTCTTCGTCATGCGTGAGGTTAAAGGCGTAAAGCGAATAGCCTCTCAGAAAATCATCCCTGTTGATAGAGAGGGCCTGGTTTTTAAGATGTGTCGCGGTCGCCAGCTGATAAAATTCACGCACGGCAGATCCGGATTCGAAGTATGGCTGTAGAGGCTTGGCGGGGAATTGTTGTACGTCAACGTAGACGGCTAGGAACTCCAAATCGTAATGATTGAACGCGAACGGGTTTTTATCATAGGTTCCGGTGAACGCGTCGTTATCCACCATAGCCAGGACGAAAGATTTTGGCAACGTCCCCAAAAACAAATTTTCCTGATTTGATACATGGGACCCTGCCGGTATGGAGAAATTTTTCAGGCATACCCTATCTATGGGGTATTTGGCCGTAGTTGAGAGCAAGGTCTGGGCGTATGCCAGTCTCACGGATGGCGATACGGTCACTTTCTTGACAAAAAGCATCGCCGACATGATATTTAATTTATAGGCCACATCCTCGTTGGTCATCAGGCAGAATCCATCTTTGCCTCTGATCATTCATATTTTTATGTCGACGCCTTTTAGCATAAATTTTTCTTGAAAGAAAATATCGCTATGAATAGGCACCAGCAGTTCCACAACCTTGCTTCCGGCTGTGTAGATCCATCTCTTGGTCAGCCCTGCGTTACGACCCACAGGGTCGGTCTCATCCATCTGCCCCGCTGTGTCTTTGAAAAACAGACCCGCCGAGAAAAGCGATTCCAGCGTATCTTTGCTGTAGTTGAGAAGACTCTCGATGATACATCGGTAAGGATACGTGCTCGAACTCTGAGATATCAGACGATCGCCGAGACTGACATCGCCTTGCGAAAATATAGTGGCTCCGGGGTAATTTATTGGGGTTACCTTTGCAGTGTCTGGAATGTCACCCCCATTAGGTCTCGTGATTTTAAGACGTAGAAACAGCAGCGTGTTATTTAGATCTATGTAATCTTTGCCGGTTCCCGCTATAAAAAACTCCAAAGGCGACGAATCCGATATAGCCGATAAAGGCGGTACTTCTAAATAGGAATTTTTCTCGATAACAGTCTGCGTCAGCGGGACTGTAAATAAATCCAACTCGGACTTGATACACTCTCCCGACATGCGATGCAGTAACGCCATGTTAGAATATGGTTTTTACGGATCTCTTAACCGCAACGTTTCGCTTCGCAGTCTTCTTACGCTTTCTCCGTGTAATTGAGAGCTTCTTGGGCCCTCGCTTTGTTTTCTTTATCGAATGACCACGCCTCCTTATACCCGGCGGTTTAGACAATCTCTTACGAGCCATGACCATAAGACCCGAACCGTCTTGAGCTTTAAGGTCATCATTATACGATCTAGGCATTGCATTTGAGACGACGTCGGAAACTATATTTTTAGCAGCCACTTTTAGGTGAGGTTTAGCGATGCTGAACCCTTTTTTTAACAACGGTACTGCCATTCAAAACAGACCTCTGAAAAGACCTCCTAGGCCGGCCCCGTACATAACAGCTCCGCCAGCATATCCGGGTAGTCCGCCGCCGGACTGATTTCGATAATAGTCTACGTAATCAGCGACATTCATCCCTCGGGTGTTGTAATAAGCCATTTTTTTTAAAACCCAGATTGTTTCATGGGCCTAAAGTGTAGTCTTACAACGACTTTCCCGTTAAGAAAATGGTATTTCACAGTTTTGGTCGTCCTTTAATTCTACGGTGATGTCCGTGATATGCGAATATACCGATGCGTAATGGGGTTTTTCGTATCTAACACTGACGGTATCATTCTTTTCACCGGTTATATGTACGCATCTTAAAAGGGGTACGTATGAATCGCCCACTGATTGGTATTCGATAATGTCGGTATAAACATACAACGTATAGAAGCCCCCGTTGATATCGGCTTGATGAGGGGCGTTCGTAATAATGCTCTTTGTAAAATCGGCGTTTTCATGGTAGGCCTAACGACCTAAAGGTTCATCAGGTTTCGTGCCTAAAATAGCGGCGAGTTTCTCTTAGAAGCTTACCCAAACGTTAGGTTTTGCAACCATTTGGACTTTATTAATTGATCGTACACCAATACCGCCGCTGACGCGATAACTTCATTTATCGCACGGACCACGGCGCGAGCGTTCTCGTAGTACCCGCCATTTATGTGGAACTTCCTTGATACGTAAAGCCCTGATAACGCTTTAAACACCGCATCACCGGGTTTATTTGCATGTTTCTGGGGCGGGGCTGGGGCGGTGAGTAAGTTGAAAAACACATCGTTGTCTTTAAAGGTGTACCAGCTTCTAGGATATTCAATTTCAGCAAGGCCTACTTGCAACTCTCCTTTCAGGTTTATAGTTTTCGCCAGCCTGGTTGTATAACTAGATATGCGATTTTCAGGGTAAACCGACAAAGAAGCGTTGCACGGCAACGTGACGTAGAAACCATGGTCTCCCATGGTAAACCTTTACTCGAATGATCTCTTACGGTAAAGGCATGCACGTTTTAAGGTTTTGCAAGTTCACCAGCTTTTTTGTCTATATAGCTATTAAATTTCGAAGGCCATCCTAACCATTTCACTAAAACTAGCATAGATCGCCCCTGTTTTTTCTCCCCTAAAATCTTTTCCACCTTAAATGCTTTGTTTTTGCTTACGATTATTTTTTGTAATTCTTCTTCGTAAAACACGCCGTCGATGACATCACCGTCATAATCAGACAGTCTATATACAGGGGGATCACGTGGGATACACGCGGAGATAGTGAAAAATTCTTCGGTGTAGTTCTGTTCATAACCCTTGGCGAACGGTCCTCGCACTTTAGAAATCCTGACCACATCCCCTACTTTATATTTAAATACGGTATGAGCAATCTTCTTCATAACGCCGTACAAGTTTTGAAACACGTCTCCTTCATTTTCTTTGTCAACGTCCACCGGTCTCATCTTAATACTCCGCTGGTAACTGGAGTTGTACCCCTGCATAATATCTTGCAAAACATCTATGCATCACCGCGAATTTGTGGCTGTTAAATATCTCCACATTCGGCTCTTTAACGTTCTATTAAATCGCTCCACAACGCTGGCCTTCAAATCAGTAGCCGTTGCAAAATGATGAACGTCATGCTTTTTCATTAAATCTTGAAAATGCTTGTTAAAAAATTCCATTCCTCGATCCGTCTGCAATTTCTTTGGGACACGGCCCTCTTCGAGTATAGACTTAAACGCTTTAGTAACCTCAACCCCGCTCTTATTCTTTAGCATTCGAGCCCATGCATACTTACTAAATACATCGATACAGGTCAACAAATATTTATTATTATAATTTTCCTTGGAGTACGCCGACATGTCGACTAGATCCGCTTGGAACTGCATATCCATACCGTACACCACGACTCTATTACGTTTGTAGTTTATAGGAGCTGTTCTGTGTAATGTGTACGCATCCTCCCCAGCCATCCAGTCTGTAACCTCTTTATCGCTCAGACGTACGCCTGTATCCTTCAAGACGTTGTCTTTTAACCGTTTTTTACCTCCTAAAGAACCGGGGTTGGGCGGCGTGTAATACACTTTTTTCATGAGGTCAGACGTGTTGTCGTTGCAACCCTCAGCAAAAGAATAACACGTACAAGCAGCACGTTTCAGTCTTTTATTAAAAAATAATATAGAGATAGTGGCAAGAATAGAATACAAAATGGATAGATAGTGACAAGAATAGAATACAAAAAAATGGTTATGTAATAATAAAAACTGATAGAATAATGTCACAGACTGTCTAGCCAATAAAGGCAATTTACACAAGCCATATAGCTATGATTCAGTATGTAGTTGACCATAATTTCGATCATTTCACAGATCATGTTTTTCTCATTTTTGGAAACCAGCTTCACACACACATCGGTTACATATGTACACATACACAGGACCTCGCTAACTCCTAGCCCTTTGTCGGCTGCGGATATCTCATCTAGAATTTTTTTGAGGATTACAGGGGGTGGATCAGTTCTGTTAACACACATGTCGATCAATTCGTCACACAAATCCGATAATCTTCTCATAACGTCCATTTGTTTCTTGAGATTTTTTATACGTCTCTTTTGCACCCCGTGATCTTTCTCGGGGTCGCACGCGTGCTCTATGACTGTGAGCATCATCTCAATCATTTGTTCTTTATAATGGGGCATAAACACAATGTCGCTGAAAAAATTATTTCCGCTACAAACAGACCCCATGTTGTCGCGGTCACAGTCCAGATGCTGACAAGCTGCTCTGCCAGAGATCCACGGCGTCGTAAATGACTTTCTTGTAGTCCTTGTCCA